CAGAATCCAGAAGCTGGCTGCTCCAACGGCCAGTATGGCCCACAGTCTGGCACAGAGCCCAGAGCCCACAGTCTAGCAAGTGCGAACTTTTGGCGCTTTTGCTTTCGGGCCCAGAAAAGTAAGGATTTGGAGAGCTCAGGTTCCACACCTTCGGTGGTCCCAGGCGCCGCCCCTGCCTTCGCCAGAGCAGGGGTCGGCGGATATACTGTATTGAATCCTACCTTATTGCTGGATACAATTGCTTTTTTATCATTCTTTCAACTTCAGGTCTATTGGGAAAGCATCTTCGTGGTGCTCCCGTGTTTCTCCGGATATGCCGCCCTTTTCGGCCTTCAACATGAGGTCAAGGCGCAGTTGCACAGTCAGAGCACGTACCCGCTGTGCCTGAATGAGCCAGGTTCGGTTGAGGATTGCAGACGATAGCTCACAAGCTTCTCATCATTTCGGCGCAGCAGTGTCCTCTCCTAAGGAGTGCTCCAAAGTCAAGGAAAAATAAATGATGCAGAATTCACAGTATATAGTACAGTGCAGGACACACATTGATGAACATGATCTTAAGAATCTTAGGTCCTGCCTCTACCTTTTTGGCCTCATCTTCCGTCTTGCCCACAAGGCAGAGTCTTAGCATGTTTGAAATGAACGCAAGCGAAGATCTCCAAATGGAAATATGTCGAGGTGGTTTTCTCTAGTCTGAATCCTCGAGTTCGGGTGCATGCTCCTTGGAAGAAGTTTTGGCTTGGAAGATTGAAGAAGAAGTCATATATAGATGTACAATATCAAAGGAGTGATACCGGGTCTTGGTATGCAAGAGATGAATCAGATCGTTACGTCTCGTTTGTCGCCTGCAACAAGCTGTGGGGGTTGTCAGCCAGTTCGTTTAGGGCAACTCTTTGAGCGGGTTCCACCGAAAGGTCGGCAAATATCACACGTCGAAGACATAAAAACAAAATTGAGACCGGCACCCTCAGACTCATTTTGCAAGAAATGTCAGACAGATCCCATATGCTTCTTGTTACTACTAGCTTCTTGTTAATGCGACTAGATGCATGTCACATTTTTTGATGTTTGACTGTCAGGTTGCACTGACTTGCATGATGCTCTCGATGCTACCTTGCTGCACACGCTTGTCATAGATGTGCGCATTGGAACAGCAATTTTGTCAGGCTCGTCATGTCTGTTGTTATTCTGACTCTGGAGTGCTATGACCTTTACTGGGCTCAGATCTTAAGGAGTACGGGACAGTGTAACATTTTTCTCACTTCCACGCGATTTTCCACCTCAGGTCGTTGTCTCATATTCTCTTGGTGGGGCAGCATTTCGGCAGAACCTTCGAAGGCTCAATTACCTGCCGAACCTGACTATTTTCTCAAGGCAATTGGCTCATTTGAGTCCAACCTGCTGAATTGCCTCACGCCTTTTGGGCACAAAACAAAAAGATTGGCGATACTTGGCAGCCAGCTCAGACACGAAGTGAAGACATCTTGCTGGCAGTGCCTTCGACAATGAAGTTGCAGCTCAGGCATTCCCTTGGGAGTCAACAGCATCCTAATTGGAGGATTCTTTCTCATGGGTCCACCATTGCAGGCGTGCTTTGTGCAAGAATTGTACTTGCTTGAAACCGTTGTCAGTATCAGCAAAGGGTATACAATCCACAACCAAGTCATACATGTGACGCACTGTTTCTCTCACTCTCTCTCTCTCTCTGTGGAGTATCAGAGCCACTTCGGAGTCTTGTCAGCGGCATCCAGGTCTCTGTCACAGCAGTGTTCGCTGCTGTGGCCGCTCTCAACTTCATCGGAATGTATCTTGGCCGTACATGTGTCACTGGATGTATCAAGAAGCCTTGGCATCACAGATCAAGTCTGTGTTTGTTGCAAGGCTTGTCTTTGCGAACTGGATCCCACCAAGTGGCGAAACAGGCTTGAACGTTGATTGCCTTGACTGACCCAAATGTCGCCAATTCAATGTTTTGTACACAAGCGGCTTTGCTTCCTTTGTGCAGAATCTGGTGGAATGAACGAGCTTGTGGCGGACTGCAAAGGTTGCAGGCCATTGCCGAAGCAGTGCCGATCTTTCGTCTCATCCCTCGACTTGTGCCGTGTAGGCACTGGCTCCCCCTCCTTTGGCACTATCCACTGGCCTTTGCAGCCAGATCCTGCAGTCTAAAGGGAAGACTGTGCCACAATGTGTCGTAAGTTCTTTTTGATTTTTGTGGAAGAGGGTAATAGTAATATACAATTGACCGTCCCCCACTGGCCACGCAAAATGGACTTCTCAGTTCAACCGCGCCGCCTGATCCACATAGATGTTATAAGACCTGGTAAGAACAAAACACTTTCTTCTTGAAGTTTACTGTAATCAATTTGCTCCAGGAGGACTCCAGGAAGCTCGTTCACTTGCCCTAGGTCGACACCTTTACTCTAGCAGGCTTTTCACCAGGGCTGTCCCTCTACGTCTATAACAAGGCAGGGAAGTTGTCTTGGATTTCTGTTTGCTTCGTTTCCTTCTTGGATTTCTCTTGTACAAGGACGTGGTGGAAGTGACTGCTGTTGGCATGGTCTTGGAAACAAAGACGCAGCTTGGATAAGAGCAGGCAAAAACTGGAATGAGAACAGGTGTTCCAGAGAATCTTGAATCACTTGAAACATGAAATATTGTATATTGTTGCAGTTCTTTCAAAATGAACCTAGAACACTTCTTTCTTGTCTCCTCGTGTTAGGTTCTTTGCCTTCTACAACACCGCAAACATGCTCGGAGGTGCGGAAGCTCAACTTATCGATATTTGCGAAAGCTGAGAGGCTTCGATTTGTGGTGTTTCGTGATGTTGATGATGCACAAGGTTGATGCTTGCATCAATTGCATTTTGAGTACACTTGTAGGATCGTGTACGCAGGTTGATTGATAGCTAGTTGGACGAATAGGTGAGTTTCTTGCCTTGGCTCATCTCCTCCCTTCTCATATAAAGATGTATGAATCGTGCATGTGTCCATTCTTTGTCCGAAGCTTCCAATGCGTTTGTTGCGTCAATTTGCTCCTCCAATTGTAAAGTGTGCGTTGGTTGATACAGGTCTTTGCGGGCGTTGGCTGAGCTATCAGCTCCAGCAGCGGCACCCAGCAACCTATGTGTGTGCCCTCCTCAGCTCCTTCACGGAAAGACTACCATGGGTAAGGCAGAACAAATGCAACCTCCATCGGTTTCTTTTTCGATATGGACCATGCAGAGGGATGAAAGTTTGGCGAAACATGTTAAAGTTAATCATAGACTGAGGTTTCAGTGTACTGGGCGCTTTGCTCCTTGTATTGCAGGAACCTGCCGACGCCTCAAGAGATTCTTTTGACTCGAAAGTGTTTCACTAGTGTTCTCAGGTGCTGGCGCCAGCGGGTGCTTTTTTGGACCCTTGGACAACGAAAGTGAAACAACGAAGTGCTCCAGTACACTTAGAGCGATGCCCTTTGCTTGTTTTCTTCGTATGTTTTCTTGTACCCGGCATGAGGTGATGCTGGGTGATGGTCTCATCTATGGAACCATCAGTCGCGTCCCTAGAATGAGATCAACAGTGCAAAGTCGACAAAAAAAGAGTAGAGACAAAGCAAATTCACAGCAACGCTTCACCACACGCACATGTCATATGTCTTTATCCCCTTGTTTGATGCTTTCAGAATTTCAGGGCGAAAATCAGCAAGAGTTGGACAAGAGGCTCAAACCTGCGTGTGCTGTTTGAGGCCGTCATGTTGATAGTGTGATCCCTCAGGAGTTTGCATGCTCCAGACAAAAAGTATGGAAGCGAACTGGCAGCATGTTGAAAACACATGTGTACTAATTTTGGTTCAGGAGTTCAATCTCATTGCCATCTCTTATTGGCTTTTCATCGGGGATGTTGGCAGTCTCATCGGGCAAGAACCTCAGCAAGCCAGCACACTGCTGACAATGGTTTGAATGTAACGTTTTGACTCGAGGTCTAGCCTGATCAGCTACCTTCATGATTGGCTAGTTGCGTGAGGTGGAGATAGTGATAATTTTTAATTTGGTGCAGCATGATTGCCATCAAGAGAGGGGCTTCCACACGCATCAAATAAGTTTTGCAGTGGTGTCAACTACGTTTCAACTAGTTCACACATGGCAATTGGCTTAATTAGAAGTTCATGACAGACACGCGACCGTGCGCACGGTATTTGCGTGCTCGCCTTAGGCTTTCAAGCAAGAAGCGCACTTGGCAATATTGTCAGGCTTGGGGAAGAAGCCTTTGAAAAAGCTGGAGGAATTCTGAACCAGCTTTTGGGATTTCCAGGGGAGAGGAAAAAAGTGTGCGAAACTAGTTAGGAACTATGTTTGAACGATTTAGGCGAAACTGAAACAAACTTCAGTCTCAGGAACCTGTGGAACTAGTCGTTGAAGCACTGCACAACTCGGCTGCCGATTGTAAGGGCTTTGTTGCTTTCAGCTCAAAGAAGCTCAAGCCATTCCCCTGACTGTGTTCTCAGAGTATCTTAGCTTTACACTCACATGCAGGCAGATAGATTCTTGATCAATTGTCAACACATCTATTGAATCTGTTAGACCCTCCGACGGCTGTGTTACAATTCGGCAACCCATGGCCTTTCTTGGTTTAGGCAAAGTTGAGCTGATTTCGTTTCCGTTCCAATGCAGCAATGGAAGTGAAGTTGCGAGCGCCAAGCGTTGTGATCTTCATCACTTTCATCATCATTAACTTTGGAGTGGTTATTTCCTTCAAGTTTAGTTCGCTAGAGGAAGAAGCAAGTGGTTTTGGTGATGATGTAGATGACGCAGCAGAAGCGCAGGATGCAGACGATGCTGACACTGACGAGGATGACGAGTTGCAGACCGTTGCCATTCGCAGCCTCGAGAGCTGGGGCCGATACGGTGATTTGGCAGTGGCCTTTCCTTTGGCGATCCAAAATTTGACGAACTTTTCTGGCCTCATCAATGGGCAGGCTGCAGATAGCGAAAATATCACTTACAAATTCGGAAACCCCAAGGACCATCCAGAATTTGCGAATTTGATATTTTGCTCTTTGACATTGTAGGATTTGCCTTGCATTCAAAGTGATTATATATGTATAATGAATTGAAGCGGTATTGATTAGGGGGGGGGGGGGGGGGCCCTCGCTCACCCCCCCAGGGGACACGACATCACAAACATCATCTCGGGGATTATTTTTAAGGTGTTTTCACGATCGTCGTGTCGTCGTCATCGCTTTCGTTCCCCGCCTCTCAAGTCGATTTTCCACTGCAGGATGATGAGGAGCTTCTTTATGACAAGGTTTCGGGATTCTTCACGGTGCTCCACGAAAGCATGGAAGGACAAGATGGTCCACGCTACTGCCCTAGGCATTCATTGAAGCACATCAAGGACCAAGACCACTAGGGCAACGTTCCCTCATTTCCCCTCTTCATTTTTAGTAAGAGGTCGGCGAAATATCGGTGAACACACTGTTTGTAAGGTTTGCCGCAAGGATATGCAACAAAACAGCGCTGTAAGGTTGCCGGCGCGTGAAGTTGTTCGCTTTCATGACAGCTGGGCCCAAAGAGATTGAAGAGGGCACATATATCCTTGGCTGTAAACACAACACAAGGATAGCCTTGCATAAGACCTACCCCTAAGACTGGAATTTTGGGAAAGAAAAAGCAACACTTTGAACACCGCTATAGCTCAATTTGTCTCGCAAGGCTCTAAAAACTAAAAACGAAATTGATTCTTCCAGGTGGCAGCTTCAGGAATCTCAAGTCTAAGTGTCGAACTTTCTTCCCAAATCTTGTATGAATCGCTAGTTTCAGATCGTGAATTGGCGTCCTGTGTTCCACGCCTTGCAAGTGCACAAGGAGTGCGTGGTGATAGCAAGCTGCCTGCTGCAGTCCCAGGTGCCAGGTTTCAATTTTTGGGGTCATAGATTCATACCGTTGTATCATATACTACATCTATCATCTATCTTTGCCACTTGCGGTAGGTCCCTGAGTATGTTGAGATGAGCATGTATGCGTCCATGATCGAGTTGATGGACCGCTTCGTGGAAGTGGCCTGGCCATTGGTGGAGAGAGGCATTTTGAAGGACAGAACGAGCTGGAAACTGTGAAAATGTTGAGGGTGTGCCGTATGCATTTTTTGGGGTGTTGCTTGATTCTTTTTGGATGGTGCCTGATGAAGCGGGCTTTGAGGCCCAGCCGCATCATCGAAGCACAAATTGAGTTTGAAACAGAGCTGCTTTCAACCTGCAAACTGAAGGAGGAGAATTATCGGCTCGCGACACTGGATGAGGAGGTGCCAGCGAAATATCAATGCGACGACTTCACCCATGCCAAGCCTTTTGTTTCGCATCTCCAAGAGAGTGAGGATTGGCTGCGGAAAGTATGAACCACATTTTAAGGGACATTGGGGAGCCTTCTTCAAGGTTTCGAAGGTTTTGCACAGAATCCACAGGATACCTATATATATATACCTATTCAAATGGACTTGGACTTTATGGCTTCTGCTTGCTCCAATTTGGTTGCCCTGGCAGGGAGCGGCTTCCGCCTTCGCCATGTCCGCGGTCTTGGCGCAAAAGGCGGCTGCTACGACCAAGATCTTGGATTCACACAGGCAGAACATGTCCCTGGAGGCAGGAACTGTCAAACAGAAGCAAGTGCAGTTGTTTGGCATGTTTGTCGGCGTCAAAACAAGTCGGGCGGTGTGCACGCTGAAGGCGACCATTGGCAGAGTCATGGAGGTTTGGCGCCCTATTTGCCTCAAGGCGCATGTTTTCTCCTGTGACGAGGGCAACTTCTGGGATCTCCACTACGCTTCACATCGCCAAACAATGGCTTTGATGCAGACAGGTCCAGTCTTCAGTTGTTTACTTAATGGAAGGAACCACTATTTCGATCAACATGGTACGAGGCGTCCACCAATTTGATAACGAATTTGACACCATTTGAATAGAAAATACAGAGATGTTGTACTTTAATCCTTTGAGGTGCTGCCTCTGCCGTTCGTGCCGAGATCCGCACGCGACTGCGCTTGGAGCGCAGGGTACAAGACTTCATGCGGGAGCACAGCGAGGCCTTCGGCGCCTTCCTGCAAACGTCTGGACGAGAAAGAAACTATTTTGATTTCCGCAAGAAGTCCAACGCATCAGTGCAGATTTGGAAGGATTATGGCAGCTTGGCACTAAATGGAGCGTTTGTTAGAATTACACACTTGACTCTTCAAAGAGATATCCAGCTATACGTCGTGCGTGGTTCTCCGCATCACATCTGTCAGTCCTTTGGTAGATTGCTGGTCACGGAGTACGAAGGAACTCGTGAGCCATTTTGGGCCTCAAACTGTTTCATCGTTGCAGCGCAGCCATGTTGAGGCAAAGCTGGCAAGGAAGCCATGTTTGGATTTGTGATGCCATACTCGAGGGCTGTGGCTGCAACTAACTTCACCCGTGCCAGCGTGTGCTTTGACCAGGCAAGACACCGGAGTATTTGCGTCACCCATGCTCTCACTTTGTTTGGAGAGAGAGAGAGAGAGAGATTGGATTTTAAATCCTGATGGAGCGCTTCAGCCCTGTCGCCCTCCAGGTAGAGTTTCGGAAGTTCCAGAAGGATGAGCAGCTGGACTTGGAACTGGAAGAGCCTGCAGAAGACAGGCCTGAGTCGGACTGAGCATGTTGCAACCTGCACGGGTTCAAGGTGTTTTTACCGCTGAACATTGGTGCTGAACATTGGTGCATTCAAACTCCCCGCTAGGAGGATGATGAATTCCACGGCCCTGCTGTCAGTGAGACAAAGCGATGAGCTGGAGGACACAAGTGCAAGGAGAAGGAGATTTGGTGGAAAGCTCAAAAAGGCGGCCAAAAAAGCCAAAAAGAATGCCAAAAAAGTCAAAAAGGATGCTAAAAAGGCGGCAAAAAAATTGAGCAAGGCCGTCAAGGTGATCGAAAAGTGGGTAACCATGCTCTTCGGATGTGTTGGCGATGTCTTTGAGTTCATCACCGTGGGATACTCACTTGACATTGTTGAAGGCAGGTTTGGGCAACATGATGTTGATGTTGGTTCACCTGGTTCTTATTGGTTCATTGCATTTGCATGTTTCAGACCAAACACCTGGGCAAGGTGCTGTGGCTTTTGGTGCTGGGCTCTCTATGGGCGATATGACTGGCTTTTTGAAGCTTCTTGTCACAGATAGTGTTAGGCTGCTCAAAGAAGACTCAGACACTTGGCCCTTGATTTCCAATCAAGCCGGGCCCTGGCTGCCCATCGCGGACACGGACACGTTAAAGTGCTGTAGCAAAGGCAAAGGTATCGTATATTGTGATGCATTGGACAGCGGTTGCCAGCGGTGTGATGGGCAAGTTGGAGACATTCGTTCGTGCTTGCCCTTGCTTCAGCTAAACCAAGGCTGCTCACCAAGGGTCGGAAGCCTTCAACTTGGCTCTCAGTGGATATTGGCTTTACGGTGGGTGTCACTGTAAAAGCTGCCTGGTCTGGAGTTGGCGCCGGCCTTGGCCTGAGCTGTGGATACAGCTCATGCGTGGCCTACCTCTCCGTTGGGACGATGACCACAGTGAACCTGCCGACTGTTAATGCGGCCTCTCAGATGAAATGGTAGTTACTCTAGATGAGAATACTTGGCGGAGTGAGTTGTCGTTTTGGTGGGTACAAATGCCATCTCCACAGGCTGCAAGGGGACGAATCACAGTTTTGGGAAATATTCCTGGCCATTCTAGTGAGTGAGCAACTGTTTGTGGGGGTCTTGTTGGGCGGTCATTGGTGCTGACCCTACGGAGGGTTGCCAGTTCACATGCGTGGCTGGGTCTAGGGGATGGTCTAGGTGCGGGAGCAAGACAGAAGGTTCAATAGAAGGACAGGAGGAACTGGGGACGGAGGAGAAAAGGAGCAGTGCGGGAGGAGGAAGAGGCGGAGGAGGAGGAGGAGGTGGTGGTAAAGAACATGCGACATGTTGAGGTGGAAGGCAAGAGCCATACCCATGATTGGTTCGAAGGGAAGAGGCAAGAGCAAGTTTTGGATTGGAGGCCATCCCTTTTAGATTCTTTTAGGTTGGAACCATCGCTATTAGGATGGAGGCCATCGCTGGTAGGGGAGGTCTGTGAAGGAGGCGGGCAGGCTTGGGGACAGCTTGTAAGTGAGATCGAGGGTAACTCTTTTCCCTTCTTTTCCCTTCAACTTGGGCACCTTCACCCAGGCCTTCGGCCACATGTGTAGGCTGTTCCTAACAACAGTCGCCTCGGGAAGAGCTAACTGACACCTCAAGCATGCTTGAGCCAGAGGCTAATACACATGTAAAACCGCATTCACCTAACGATAGACACAGGGAACTCCCATCCCTAGGTTGTTTGGTGATTCTGCCAATGGTTGACACTTTTTGACCCACACGCAAACGATCCATTTACTTTCCATCACATGCATGTATGGCCCATGATCCCGGTTGTCAATGCCAGAAGAGACCATCGGTCCAGTGGTTCTTTTGTCCCTCGCCTGTTATTTTGTTCTTTCCTTTCCTTTGCCCAGCTTTTGCTTTCCCTCTTCCTTTGTGGGATCTGTTCAACGGCTGGTTCAGTATTGACCTGCTACACCCTTCTTGTGCTTTCCACATCCTTTTCTTTTCTTTTTCCCTTTCCTTCTCTATTGCTTTTCCTTGTCCGTTCTCCTGTTCCTGTTCCTTTTTATTGTGGGGCTCTATTTAGTGGGTAGTCAGTAGTGGGCCGCCCCTCCAAATCATTTGAGAAACGCTGGCTCTCGAAAGCTATAGTCTTTCTTCGTGTTCGATTCCTTTTCCTTTTGATTCTCCTCTCCTTTGTTCATTGTTTCTCTTACTCTTCCTTGTCCCTGCTCCTGTCGCTCGTCTTTTTCTTTCGTTCTTCCTTTTCCTCGTGGGATCTATTGAATGGGTGGTTCGGCAGTGACCCCACCTCTGGTTTTCTGAGGCTGCTGTGTTTTGTGTTTGACACGTCCTTTCCTTTTCATGTTCATTCTCGGAGTCCTCGTCCCTTTTGTTTCTTTTCCTTTTTTTCTTTTAGCTACAGTTATGCTAGTTCTCAGAGGCTACAGTCCCTGTCTTGACTTTCTAGTCTGTACCTGTACAATTGTTTTACTTGTGCATGTCGGTGTCCTTTTTCTTTGTCCGTTTCCTTTTAGTTTGCTCTAGGCATGTTGGCCATACCATACGATATGGTAAATCATCGCATGCAGGTGAGTTGTGGTAATATGAGAATGAGACAGATTGGTTTTAAAATAAATCCGCATGATGGAATCAATGGTGATCTGCAGCGCGGGGGGTCCCACCTACAACTCCATCGGGTTCCTTTGATTCTAAAAAGTGTTCAGGCGATATCTCCAATCACCTCAGTTTCTTAGAATCTCACAGAGTCTCAAGCAGAAGGCTTGATGCAGTTAACCACGAAACCACTCCGAAATTGCTTTACTGCGAGTCTGAAATGCTCGCACGAACTGCCTGACGCAAGATTGGTTGGGTGCTAGGCCACCTGCCTGCTACTCAAAGAATTTGCATGACCACCAGTTGTTTGTTTTTGAGAGCGGTTGTTGATGGTTTTTGTTCTTTTCACCATGCTGGAAGTATATGTCAGCAGTTCAATAAACATTCAATCCTAGGTGGGTGTACCCGCTTCAATATAACACTCTACTATTTGAGGGATATAATGTGGGACGAGTGGTCCAAGGGTAGGATGTTCGACCCAATTCACAGTGAAGATTGAGAGAGATGGTTCCCGAGTCATTGTGATGCTACTTGACTGGATTCTAAAATATAGCGGGGCCTTGCAATAAATACTGTTGTGTGGGGAACGGTGTCGGCAACTTTTAACAACTTGTCCTGTTCAGATTGTAGAAACATGTGGCGAAAAAGAGTAGCTGATGAAAATCGACATGAATTATGTGATTTTTGAGGGGTATGGTTTTGCAAGTAGTGCTGATCCAACTCGAGGTGTGCGTGTTTGGTGCGCCTTATTCTCCACAAGGCTGGCAGTGCTCCCAGGTCTTCGGTGGAAGCATCTCCGCTTTTTGCTGCAACTTCAATGTGGCGAAGGGGAAACATGACTGCCGCTGAGAGTTGTTGGCAGCATGTAGCGCCTGTAGGTTTGGCTGCTACGACCATTTTGCACAGTGCGGTGACCGACAGGTGTTTCACTGCAGTGCCAAAATCGCGCGCTGGGCTGTGTAGACCTTTACGAAACAACGTGTTTAAACCGATTTGCTGGTTGTGTGGAGTGCAGCAAGGGGATTGATTGTTTGGAAGGAAACAAGGATTTCCAGATTGGAAATGATTGGAAATTATAACATTTGTGTAGGTTAGATTTAGCTGTGAGGTTGCTTCACGAAAGATAGGTTGTTCGAAGCTGGTCTTTGTTTATTATGGATGGTTGCGATGGCAGACGGCCATGCAACTTATGTCACATTGGGTTCAGCGCTGTAACATGTTTACCAAACTCTAAGTGTGAAGAAAGACATGCTGCATACCGGTTTGATCACACTCCTGTGGACACACATGCTCAAACCCCGAAACGGAGCCTTACAAGACGGCTTCAAGCAATCCGAACATGGGCTGCTCGACCTGAATTAGTTTACGACACGCGGCTCCGACACGCGGCAACGGTACCCGAAAAATCTGGGATCTAGGAACTGCTGCTGACTCCTCCGGGGTTAACCTCTTGATCGCCCCTGTTTTTCAACCATACCTCCCATTCAATCAAGTCGGAGTCCTGGAACTTCTTCGCTTCCTCTTCGTTGAACCACCTTGGGTCCAGTTCCTTCCCCGAAGCCTTCAACTTCAGAAGGAGAACTTCTTTGTAGACTTCCCAGTCCAGAGCTTTTCATGTTCTTTGCTTCCAAGCGAAACCTCATAAACTTTGTTTTCTTCAAGTTGCACATATGCCTTATTCACCTCATCTCCTTCTCGCTTGGCCTCTTTCATCTTTTCATCTTCTGGCCTCACAAAGACTGTCATGCCCCTCCATGGTGCAGAACATCGCTTTCGAGGTCGTTGCATCAAGAAGCCGTCCTAACTGTTGAACTTCACTTCTAGGCAACCATTGGTTTTGGGCTGCCTTCAGGTCGTTGGAAGGCACCGCTTTCTTTTTCAAACGGCCTGTCATCTCATGTTCTGAAACCATCACCTCCATTTGCTGAAAGAGGTTTCTGGGCGCCTTCAACTCCCTCTCTATCGTTGGTCCTTCTGGGCTCTTGCCCTTTCTTCGTCGCCCTTCGATTTCCTTCACCCTTTCCTCATCTTCCTTCTTATAGGCTTCTTCTTGTGCAGCCACATCTTTCCAGGACCTTTCATCTTCTTCCTCCGCTTCTGGTACCTCCGGTGCTTCAGTGGGAGTGTACTCCATCATCTCATGCTCTTCTGGAAAGGTTCTTTCCTGCATCTCTTCTCTTTTCTTAACCTGGTGTTTCCTCCTCGGAGCCGGTCTGCTTCTTCGAGTCTATCTTGCTCATCACGAAAGCTAGCCTTAGCTAGCTGGAGTTGCTCTTGCTTTAGCAAGTTAAGTGACGGGGTGGACGCACCTCAGAAACCTCAAATAATTGATTAAATCAATCTTATGGCCCCCCCCCCCCCGCGGTTCGACTCCCCCCCTGCGCGCGGTGAGCGGGACCACCAAGCAGCTGCAGCACACCAAGCATCTGCGCCCAGCGCAGCAGCGGCAGCAGCAGCAGCAGCACCAGCAGCAGCAGCAGCAGACCACCCAGCGGCGGCAGCAGCAGCAGCAGCATACCCATACCCAACGCCGCGGCAGCAGCAGCAGCAGCAGCAGACCACCCAGCGCCAGCAGCAGCAGCAGCAGCAGACGACCCGGCGCCTGCAGAGCACCCAGCGCAGCAGCGCCCAGCGCAGCAGCGGCAGCAGCAGCAGCAGCAGCACCAGCAGCAGACCACCGGAAGCCCGGCTAGCTTTCGTTCACCCCCTCTGGCCTCAAGTCCAACGGGCTAGCTAAGCTGATCTGGAGCTCCATTTGACTAGATCTCTATAGAGTTTGACTACTGTAGAAATCGGAATCGTTAATTGGCTTATTCTAGTCTGCTGCTAGGCGCAGAAGAAGATGAGAAAGGCAGCGAGAGAGGCAGAAGAGGAGAATGATGATTGCGAGGATGAAGACCGGATGCTGCGTGAGGAGGAGGACTCACAATCGAATGATGGGAAACGAGGTAGGGGTCGTGGACGAGGATGTGGCAGAGGACGTGGACAACCAAAAGCAAAGCCCAAAGCAGCGTCCGGCAAAGCTAAAGCTAAAGCAGCGTCGGGCAAAGCAAAAGCAGCAGCCAAGCAAAAAGAAAAGCCGGCTGTCCAGATCAAGGAAGAAGTATTTGAGGTCTCTTCGGAAGAGATGTCGGTGGA